TGACAGAGACGCAGGCAGGATGGGAGTTTATTTCTCACTTCCAGGATGAAGAAACATTTGCATGTTGACAAACAACGATTTAGCTTCAGTAGTTACTGAACACAGTCGAGACATTTGCCTGCGTTTGTGTGACGTAGACCTATAGTTGTATTATATCAAACCTGTCCCCTCCACTCTCCTCCATCCCCTCCCCACACAAAGCTGAGTTTTCACAGTCACACTTAGAAATGTCCTCCTCCTATTTTCTTTCATTTCGTGATGATTGTGGTGGATCAGCGTAGCTGCTACACACACACACACACACACACACACACACACACACACACACACACTCTCTCTCTCTCTCTAACTTCAAAGCCTGTGGAAATCTGGGTATTAGCTTGTGTGCCTGTGCACACCCAGACACATGTGTGTTGCAAGAGTTGGTTATATGAGCAGGTCCAACATGAACGTACAACTCGGCGGATTGAATTTATATCTGTCTCTCTATTAACTTAATGCATCAGTGGGGAAATTACAGAAATTGATTGGTGAGCTATCGCCAATCACTTTGCCCAGCGTTGATCCCTGGCTGTGCTCGCGTCATTAGCAATTCTGAGACCCAAATGTTAGGAGTTAAAAGTGTCCCCAGATTCTTTCATTTCCAATAAAATTATCAGTGTAGCTGTTCTCCCAGCTGTTACAATGAAGTTTAACACACTGGTATCTGTGAAATAATGATTTTACAGTATTTAGTTGAGTCAGAAGCTAGCAAGACTTTAGCCAGCTAGCTTCCATCTAAAGATGATAGTATGACAGTCCGAATCCTTTCTAAAGAAGCGAACCATACAGCTCTGCTAGAAATTTGAACACAAACCAAGATGAAGATCTAAATACGAGTAACATATCTAGCTACCATACCTGGTACCATACCTGGTAGCTAGGTATGGTTTGGCTAATATAAACACATTAGCACAGCAAAGATGGAGGATGAGGCTGAAGTTGTTCTCAATAGAAGTCATCATTATGCTGCTCTTTGGTTTTGTTTACTCACTCTGAACAAGTCCTGATTCTAAGCTCAGTGTCCTCTCTAAAATATGAGTCAGCCCAACTAGCACCCAATTACGTACTGGACCACCACGAGTCCATGGGTTGTAGTGAGTTTCAAAACTGAGCTTAAAGATGTGTTTGACCTGATCATGGATGGAGCCAATCCTAGCTAGCATAGGGCGAAAGGCAGGAGGATACATCCAGGCGAGGCTGCCAGAGTGTCCCATTGGATAAGACGGACAACCATTCCCTGCACATCAACAGTGCTGATAATAAACTGAAGAAGCTGGGAATGACCACTCAAGAGTTTCTGAATGCTCGTATCTGTTCAAATAAAGAAGATAAAAACAACCAAAGCCCATTAAAAAGATGAGGGCCCCATCCAACACAGGACAGTCTTATAACTGATCTTTAAACTGATTCTGGCAGCAAGATAAACCTTTAATAACTACGTATAATCAAACTAATAACCTGTAATCAAGCTTCTTGCAACATTTTTACTTTTTGGATACTCGCTGGTTCGCATTAGGTGGTTTTAAAAAACTGTACAGTTTCCTCTTTGCCATCCAGTCCACATCTGCTCAGAGACAGAAACTGGTTACCTGAGATCCCCATATCAGGGATGTTAAAGTGAATGTTTAAAGCAGGCTGCAGCCCGGGTTTGGCTCACAGGGATTATTTGTGTATGCAGTGACCTAATTGCTTGAAACTTCAGCTATGTTTTGATATCAGGCTCCATTAATGTAATAGTCTACATATAACAGAACATAAGGAAAGGCCAGAAAGGTCTCGTTTAATAACCTTTGCGAGAATAAACACACATGTTTGTGCTGAAAAAAGCAAGCAGTCCTTCAGCTGACTGCTCACTCATTCATTCACTCTTTATGTTTTCATCTCCCCTCTCTCGTTCATTTTCCAGATCTGTGTCGGATCCCCAAATTGTTTAAGGAGAGATCCGCAGCCCATAAATCCATGAGTCAGCCGCAGTCCTGCTGCTGTTATGTAACATTCCCATAATGCAACAGTGCCTGGTCCCTCAGTCTGCTGCCTCGAATCCCAGCACGCCACGATGTAACAAAGAGGAGAACAAATCTGATCTGTCATCAGACATAAACACAACATGTCTGTTTACTACAGCTGATGTCTCCAGCATGGGCCGGAGGCTCACACGAGAGCTCCCAGCAGCTTTGTGTTTCACCATCAGGTGCAGAGAGGCCCGAGCGAATGAACGTCTGAGGTCCAGAAGCCATAAAAAACTCTGTGCTGACGCAAAACACATCTGCTGTTACAGCAACCCTCAGCGCGTGCTGCTGAACAGACTCTGAGCTCGGAAAACAAACAGAGCTCAAGCCGACGGCGAGACTCGACCAATTTTAGAAAAGCTGGTGCCTGAAAGCTGCTTTCGGTTCCTCTACAAAAACAAACTGCTTGTCCAAAAAGTCCATTTTTACACAGCAGCTGACCACCTCTGTGTGATGAGTGAAGCTCAACAGAAAGTTCTCCACTTCATGTTCACGTGTTCCTCAGGTTATTCTGTTGTCACAGGTAAGTCAAAGACGGGGACACAATATTAGGAACCACTGTCAGTGAAAGTCAGTACAATTACAAAGTATTATTTTATTTCATTCAGATTTATTACAGGAATGTTGCCTATAACACCTCGAGCATCATTGCTCTCCTTTAGCAGGTTGTAGTTGTTGTTGAGGAGGTTGAAAATGTTTGAAACCTGAAACACATCTTTAGTTAGTCACATAGAAAGTTTGCAGACTTCTGGAGCTTTTCACCCCGGCCTTAGCCTGAAAAAGCTATGTGGGCCCGCCACCCACAGGAGGGGTCGTACAGGTTCAACGCTCTTTGAATCAGTCAGAGATGGAGGTCCTCGAGGCCCAATCCCCAGTTCCAAAGCGGCTGAAACACTAGTTCATGCATTTATTACTTCCAGGCTGGACGACTGTAATTCATTATTATCAGGAAGTCCTAAAAACTCCCTGAAAATCCTTCAGCTAATCCAAAACGCTGCAGCAAGAGTCCTGACAGGGACTAGAAAGAGAGAGCATATACTTCACTTCACCCATACTGACTTCTCTTGAGTGACTCCGTGTTAAATCCAGAAAACGAGGTTTTGAATAGAATCAGGCCCCATCTTTTCTGAAAGACCTCATTTTACCATATCACCCCAATAGAGCACTACTTAAAAGTAGAATTGGAGGCAGAGCCTTCAGCTGCCAGGCCCCTCTTCAGTGGAACCAGCTTCCAATACTTTTAATATTAGGCCCAACTTTCCTTTGTGACAAAGCATATGGTTAGGGCCGATCAGGTGACCGTGAATCCTCCTTCATTACCCTGCAGTAGGTCTGGGTGTGTGTTTCGGTCAGCTGCAGCATTTCAAGCTGACATTTCATCAAATCAAGATGTTAACCAACTGAAAAAAGGATGATACAGAAGATGTGATTGGTTGGAGCTACATCCACTGAAACTTAGTGTACACTTAAGCCTATATTAACCTATAAATACAAGACAAAAATACACACTGTGGCACTCGGCTTGTCCCCTAAATTGCAACTGGCACTGCGAGGTACCAGCAAAAGCAGCACATTGTCACCACTAACCATATATTTCAGCTCTGCTTCGTTTGATACAAGCCTCAGTTGTCTGACTTTATACTGGCCTTGGAATAAAAGTGAGTGCAAAAGAGCAGAGCTTGCATTATGAGAATATCTGATCTAAAAATGTGTTCAAGGCCTTTCCAGGACCTGCAGAAAGACTGGAGCTGTTTTTAGGAAACCAGACGGAGAGTTCAGATGATCTCAAGCTTACCGAGAAAACCACACACACACACACACACACACACACACACACACACACACACACACACACACACACACACACAGAGAGAGAGATTTGTGAGGAGCTGTTCAGTTTCTTTATGTTCAGTGAGAGTTGGCCTGTAGCCCAGATCTAGTTTCTCTAATTATGGACAGAAGTTAAATTGTGGCGGTGACGCAGAGTCTACAGCTCCGCACAGTCAACGCAGGAGGAATCACAGCTCCTTACTTCCCTTCAGCTTCCTTTCAAAACAAAAGTACCAGTGTGCAAATAGCAAAGTATACAATACATTTAGAATTATCATCAGAGACACAGATGCTCAGTGCTCACAGTGTACGAGTTATTTTCTGACCACTTGTTTAATGTCCATAAATAAATCTCACAGAAAAATTCTGATAATAAGAAAATTCAAATGAGCAGAGGAGAGAGAAGAGAGAAAAGCAGACAAACAAGACCAAACAAAGTGTGGGAGAGAGCAGGCAACAGGTTTTATATCTCACAAAGAAAATGCCTTTAAAAATGTTTGAAACCCAAAACAGATAAACGAGGAAATATTTTCTTTCTCGTTAATAAATTTCTGTTTCTACCAACCAAAAGGACAACAAGCATGTCCCTCCCACCTGCTGACGGAATATCAGATGACGATTTTTTGACATAAATCACAATTCCGAGATGATCGCTTTATGTTATATAAATAAAATTATTGGTTTCTTAACTTTAAGCAATGTGATTTTAAAAAATATTAATGAATGCACTTATTTATGTAATAATTATTTTTAATTACGTATTTTCTATTCTTGCTTTTTTGATTGGACCTTTTTTGCAGGTATTCGTTGATTCTTGTTGCGTTTATATTTGCTTGAATTACTTAAATTCACAGAGATTGTGAAAGTTTCAGCACCAACATGTGTTTATTCTTACAAAGGTTCTTTCGTTCTCTCTTCTAAAGCTCATGTTGCCCACTGTCTGCCGTTATTTCCTTCTCTCTCTAGCTCTCTCTCTCCCGTGTGTGTGTGTGTGTGTGTGTGTGTGTGTGTGTGTGTGTAGTGATTCATTGCATGATGTGTGTGTGTGTGTGTGTGTGTGTGTGTGTGTGAGAGAGAGAGAGAGAGAGAGAGAGAAGCTGTGCTCTCCAGGCGCCTCCTCCTCCTTCTCCAAACATGGCGCCGGCCCGCAGCTGTGCTGCCTCCCCGTCAGACGACGCAGAGAGGGAGAGAAAGAGAAGAAGAAGAAGCGGGTAGAAACTCGCCCCAAAGTTTAGGAAAAAAACTTAATTTAAAACCAAGACTGCTTCGTGCTTTTTAAAGTACATCGGAGATTTTACGCGCCGCTTTTGGAGACGTTTACGCGTCAGGCTGTGCGCGTAACGGAAAGCCCACCTGTCCGACGAAGGTAGATTTCACTCCGTTTCTCGTAGGATGTGAGTCTTCCTGATTTTTGTGAAATAACGGAGCAGAGCGAGCAGGCAGCCGGGGGACTCGGGGTCAGAGCTGGCTCTGGTTAAAAACATGTGCAGCCCTGTGACCAACAGCAGCACAGAGGCTGTAGAGGAGTGAGTCTTTCCAGGGGACGGGGAAAAACGCAAAACAACGTTTCCACTCTTCCACACTCAGAGGATGGATGGAGAACATTCTGCGCTGTCAGGAGTTGAGAGGGAGAGAGAGAGGCTCCCACCAATTTACAACAGCTCCCCTCCTGCTGTAAGAAACCCGCCTTTTATCTTTATCTATTCCACAACAGAGCGATCCCTGTCATCCCTTTCTGTTTGTTGTACAGAAAACATGTTTCACGTGCTACTGGTTGTTCTGGTGACAATGAGGCATATTTGAAAAGTTATAAAAATAATAAGCAACGTTTGAACATTACAGGTAGAAATGTTAGACATCATTATCCCGTTTGAAAAAGACAATATATGAATTCAGGGTAAGGTTTTTCATGCATGTGCTTTAAAAAGCAAACCAATGACAGGTTTTTAGGAAGCATTCATCTTTGCAACTGGTGCAGGTTCAGGAACCGCACTGGGGTCTGTGTGCCCACACTGTTACATTCAGAACTGATTGTTTGAGTTTTACTGTGTAATAATAGATATCAGGCGTTTTCTGCCTCATTGTGCATTTATTGTACAGGCAGCTTTGCATTCAATGTTCTAAGAAATAATAAAAAAAACATTATGCAACACAAACCACGGTAATTAGAGCAAAGGATTTTACTGCAGGTCATCACTGCATGAGTCTCTTAGCGTGCATCTTTTTTAATGCAGTTTCACGTTCCACTTGATCCAAAATCATTTTGTAATAAGACAAAAATCTTCACTGTTTGTACTTCAGGAATCAGGTACATGGATTTGAACTTGTGTAAAGTCCCCTAAACTTCCTGAACAGATAGAAAGGTGACATTTAACAAAAAAAATAAATAAAAGACTGCACTTTTGTTGCTTTTTGGAAAAAGTGATGCCCCTGCCTTACATAATGATGCCTGACTCCAGCTCTCCAGCAGTGATGTAATCATTCGAACACAGACGGGCGCTCGCCTCGCTTGTTGGGCTTTTCACCGGCGTTGTTTTCGGTTTGGTTCTCTGTGTCACTTTGGAGCAGACTGGCGGGCTCGCTGGCTGCTCGGTTGATGTCATCTACATTGTGTCAGGGAGCAGGAATGTGCAGATCAGAAGGTTCGGGGCTAATAAACAGTCTGTCACTGCTGAGACCCACTCTGTCTGGAAATGCCATAAAGTGGCCGCATGCGCTTTTTCTCTCCGGGGCTTTGGCCTGACTGATTCTGATTCTTCTTCAGAAGTTTTCTGGCTGCTTAGGCTCAGTGCGAGCTGAAAAGAAACAGCTCCTGGAGACAGTGGCTGCCATTGTTTTACCCACCAGTAAAAACAGACCAATTGAAGGCAGCTGGTGCTCCCTGTTTTTTTTTTTTTTTACCTGATCCAGAATTCTTGTTTCTGAGAGTTGCCCGATGATGAGAAAGCATGTTATTATCGGGAAGACTTTTTCCAGACCTCCAAGAGTTTGATGAGCTGATGGTCTGGTTACTTAAGTCAAGTAAAACCTGACTCAGCAGATTCATGGCAAACATTTTTTTGGGTTTCAAGCTTTGATTGTTGGGTTCTGCTGTTTTTCTCTGAAAGTATTTCAACTGTGAGTTATTGCATATAAAATCAGCCAAATCTGAAATAAAGCCGGTTTAAAGGTTTTAATTCCTTGACTAAATAGAAACTCGACTTTTACATGTGTTACAAGTTGTTAGAATATGACTGTGTCACACACAGAAGATGAGCCTTGTGTTAATTGTTATATTGAGATTGAAATAAAAATAGTTTCTCTGAATTTTTTTTCATGTCACTGTGGGATGGTGCTTCAGAGTTTAGCACTGGGAGCTCACAGGTGGACGCTCCTCCTGTTCTCCCAGGTTTGTCCTGGAGCTGGCTTAGTTCTCGGCTCAGGGAATTCTTAAACGCTTTGCTTCCAGGTTTAAAAAAATTTTAAAAAATCTTTGATAGACTTCCATTTATATGGTTCCACTCCACACAAACTTTCACAGTAGCATCTCTGTAGATATGCTGTAGCCACATGGTTATATTTGAGCATTTCCATCATCCATCTGACGCCATCCACGATTATTTTGATGTTGGACTGTCTCCTTTGTCTTTGTTTAGCAGTTCAGCCCTGGCCCTTTATTCTTTCATGTTTTCTCTGTTGATCATTGCCATGGCAACATGTTTCAAGTACCTGCTGATTAGCCTATTAAGAAAAGCCTTGAAGCATAAATTAAGTGGCACAAGCTGAGTGCGATTTGATTTGCAGATGACTTTCTGAGAATGCCTTTGACAGACCTGGCTCGCGTTCATCTAATCCATCCATGATAATCCATAACCAGGGAATTCAGTTTAAAATGAATTACATGTGGATTTGAAGATGAGATTCCCAGTTTGGAGGAGAAAATAACTCCAAATATAAGAATGTTTGTCAGATAGAAATGATTTTTTGTACAGATTGCCTGGGTGACATTCGTGTTTATCCACAGCAAACAGCCAGCGTGCTAACTGAATCTTCACTGACAGCTCGCTAGACATTGAAAGAGCGGCAGTGCTTCAGTGAGTGTGTCTGTGTTTGTGTTCATCTCAGCTTCAGACTAAACTCAGAACTCCACAGAAACTCTTGGTGTTCCCCTAGTTTCCCTTTAGTCCCCTGTCCAGGGTGACATCGGGGCTTTCCTTTGACTTTGAACACAACACGACGGCTCTGAGATGAGCTTCAGGTTCTCTTTGAACACGCAGTGCACATCTGATTTCTGTGTCTTAAAGAAAGAGCTCAACTTTATTTGCTTTGCCACTGCAGACAGCGCGTCCTCAGTATAAACAGGACTGATCATCAGAGCACGTGACCCTGGTGTAACCTGCAGTGTTTCACGTCACTTTTTGGTATAATCTCAGCTCGCTTCACATCTCCAGCAAGGTGGTACTAAATAATGAGGCTCCTGGGAACTGTGCATGATTACTAAACCAAAAAAAAAGAGCCAGGCAGTACTGGGCTACTCTGTCAGTGGTTTGGGGAGTTTTTCTTCAGCCCCAGATATTGGCGCTTGGTGAAAAATCCTAACGGGACTAATGCTTGCTTTATTTTGCCATGACCGGTCTCCAAACTGATGCCAGACTTGTGGTGATGATGCTGATGATGATGCACCAGAATGAGCTCACTGATTCTGTGAGCCATCTCGGATAAATGTTGGCTGCTCATTGGAGCTGATTTCAGCCTAAATCAACCCAAACCTGCTGACTTGAACACAAGTTTAAATCTGGGATCCAGAGTCAGACTCACATCTGGTGCTGTGCTTCCAAAACTCAGCCAGATCTGGCATTAAGATCATTAAGCCGTGCTTACTCAAACTTGATGAGGAATAATGTCTGTGTATTTGGAAACCATTTCTAACAGACTGTTGAGTCTTTGTGTTCAGGAAGCAGACTGTACATCAGTTGCAGGTCAATCTGCTGGATGAGATCGTGAACTGAAGCATCTATAGCTGGTGTAAAGACAGTGCTTCACGTTTATATACAGCATATTCGATCTGATTAGAGATGAGCAGCTGACAGAGGAGAGGCTGAGCAGAGTGTGTGAGACACAGTCAGACGCTGAGCTCTTCGTGGCGTGGTTTCTCTCTGGATGACAGCATTTCCTCTCAGACTAAATGACTGAGCAGAGCCGGACACGACGGAAATCACAAGACTGCTGCTAAAGCCGTTTAATTATTGTCAGATGTGAAGCGGGATCTAGTTATCGAGAAAACTTGAGCAGGAATGATTTGCTGACAGCCTCATTTCCTTGATCGAGTTGTTTATGCTGCACGCTTTCCCGGACATCACCTGTCAATCAGCTGGTGTGGGCGGGCCTGTGGCGATGATGAAAGAGTGAGTGATGTGGCTTCACTGGGAGAGGACTGTAATTATACACACATCACTTCTAAGGGAGTGATGCAGGAAAGCAGCTCTGCATGAAGAGAACGAAGAAGTTTACAGCGGCGCTTCGGGCTCTGTGAGGTCTTCAACACCGTGGCAGCATGTCGATATTTAGCATCTTAGTTTGGCTTTTTAGTGCACTAATTAGCACCATTTATGAAGCAAATATACTTATATACAGCAAACTGATGTCAGTGTCATTAATTTCATGAACATTTATCAACAAAAATGTTCTTAATGGAAACCAGCTGAGCTGATAAATGATAATAAATGCAAGTAAAAAATGTATAAAATATCTCAACAGTGTCGTTGTTGTATAGGTCACAGTTATGCGATGGTAATATGACAGTTCCAAATCAAACATGTTAGTTCAGACATCAACGTCAAGCTCAGCCACAATCCCAGCCCCTGAGATTTACTGGGATTGTGGCTGAGCGTGACAGTGCCAACCCACATCATGATGGCTCAGCTGATACCTTTCTACATATCACAAACTGCATGTCGGCTGTGTTACTTAGGCTGCTTTAGCTTGCCCGCAGTTCTTGCCCATCTGCCGGCTGCTTTGCAACCCACCTCCACCTTTAGCTTAAGATCGTTTTTGATTCTGGGCACAAAAGCAGTGACGAGCAGTCAGGCTTGCAGCGTTATAACTGTTTCCACTGTGGCCACAACATTTTTCTCTGGAGTGCTTTTTTTGGCTCAACCCTGTTTTATTGGGGTTTGCTGCTAATTAAAGGGGAAAATAGGTCTAAAGGAACCTTTCAAAAGATTTAAGTAAATGCATATCAGTATCTGTTTTTAAAAACTTTTTAACACCAAATTGTCCTCTGAAGATATATAAGATAGAGTCCTTACAATAGGGACAAGAGACAGCAATACAAGCTACATTGTAGCCACAGCCACCCCTTTGCAGGCTGCAGGACACTGCTGCTAGGCCCTCTGACCACCAACAGTAGGCAACGGGTGAAGTGTCTTGCCCAAGGACACAATGACAGAGACTGTCCAAGCCGGGGCTCGAACCGGCAACATTTCAATTACAAGGCGAACTCCCAACTCTTGAGCCATGATCGCCCCAATCTCCAAGAGAGATCTGCTGTGATTATTTGGATGTTAAATAATGGTTTTGTTGTCAAATAGCTGTATGAGTCTGAATGTAAGTTTGCAAAAAAATTCAAAATAAAAACATTCAATACTGAGGAAACATGTATATCTTGACTTTTGTGGAAATGTCCTTAAACAGCTGTAGTTAAAACACCAAATGTCAGGCTCGCAGAGTCTCAAGAAGAAAAGCCAACGAGTTAGAAAGCTGTGCATTAAACGCTTTTTGCAGAATTTCTCAACCTGTGGCGATTTAACGAACTCAGATGGAGCAACTGCTTTACTGCCTGCACTGAGTGAAATTTAAATGCACTTTAATTTGAAGTAATGAGAATCTTCTTCGACATGTGATTTATTGAATGATTTCAGTGTCTGCTTTTGTATTCCTGCATTAATTCTGGGTTTTCAAAAAGTGTTTGATCTGATTTGAGTGAAAAACCTGTTGCATCTCATTAACACTGTGGAACGTCTGAGCTGAGAGATGAGATGAAAGGGCACGTGTCGGCTCGTGTGTGTGTGTGTGTATCTGTTGTACTATTTGTATTCTGCGTGACGTGTGACACATAAGACTGCACATACACAAATGAGCCACAACATTAAAAGCACTGCTGGGTGAATCACCTTGTTACAATTCAGTGTGCATTAAGAAGACCTCCTAACTTTGAGCCTGTTCAAATGGACTAGTTATAAAAATTTGAACTACTACCCAGTTGTGATGAATGGGGAAACTATCCATAGAGACCAGAGAGCATTTTTCTGTGTGTGTAAGACCGTAAACGTATGTATATCTACTGTGAAGTTGGGTAATTTTACGTTGGGGTCTATTGGGACTGACTTTGGAAGCAGCCTCAAGTGGACGTTAGAGGAACTGCAGCTACTGGCACTCCCACTTTGGCTTTGTTTTTCAGCCTGGAGGTTTCTGCATGAACGAAAGCACACCCCCCCACGCATTACAGGCCTCACCCACAGCCCACAGGACTGTAAGCTGCCTCAGTAGCACAAGAGAGACACATACAAAATGAGACAGGTGCTTTTAATAATGTGGCTGATCGTCTATGCCATCATCGTAATCCGTTTTTTTTTTTGAAAATGTAGCATGTACCTGACTGTTTTTCTGTTCTTTTTAGTGCTTTAGAGAAAATAACATGGAAAAACAACTGTGTGTGTGTGTGTGTGTGTGTGTGTGTGTGTGTGTGTGTGTGTGTGTGTGTGTGTGTGGGCTGTCGTCAGGGCTAAAAGGGCTAAAATTCTGTTTACAATATCCCTCAGGGTCTCATTTCTTTTGAAACTGATTCATTTTGAATGGATGATTAACTGTCTTCCCGTTCCATCACCTGAACATAACACTGCTGGTGCTGCTGTGTGTGTGTGTGTGTGTGTGTGCGTGTGTGTGTGTGTGTGACAGAGAGAGCGTGGTGTGTTTGCGGCTGTCATGAGCGGCTGCTGTGCATCTGTTGAACTCCCCACCTCCTCTTCCTTCCACCTCTCAAGCCTCCTCTACGATCTGTTCTCTCCATCTGTTCTTTCATTTCCATTTCTTCACTGACTTCCTGTCTCATATCCTCCTTCATTTTTCCCCACTTTCTCCCATCTTTTCTGCATTACTTCACTTTCCCTCACTTATCCTTCTTTCCTGCTCTCTCTTTTCAACATGCTTTCTCATCAATCTTCTCATCTTGTTACCACATTTTTCTCATTGCACTTGTGGTTCACAGACACCCAAAACTCATCAAATACCGAAAAGATTAGAAGTGTGATTCATCACAGAGAAGACTGAGTGAATATTAAGTTCATTCATTCGGTTCAGGTCATGTTGTCATTGTCTGTTCATGCAGCTGAAAACCTGATTTCATTTAGAGGTTCTGACTCTAGAAAGAAAGAGCTAGAGCACCACTAAGTGCTGGTTTCTTGGTGTTATGGGTGAAATCTGGGCTTAAAATGTTCACAATCAAGTTGAAGTCCTAACCTGGATCATCTAGAAGAGATAGAAAAAAGGAGAGAAGATGGAGGTTGTGTCTGGTTTTAAAGGGCTCCATAGTTCTGTTTTAGTTTGTATGTGATTGGATCTCGGAAAATAAACAGAGCTGGTTTTCCATAAAGTTTTGGAGTAAAGGTTTGTGTGTGTAGCTGAAGTCATGTCCGGTAGACTCTCACTAAAGCTGGCATCTCCACTTTGATTCTCCACGTTTCTCTCAAAGTAGCCTGGTGACGTTGATTATGGAGTTACAGACTGAAGCGTTTGAGACTTCAGGACTTTGCAGCGGTTCAAAAAGATAAAACAAAGGAGGAGATAACTGGTCTGTTGTGCGTGCATGCAAAAAACTTTCTTTCCACTCGTCTTCATGATCATGTTTTTGTGTGGTAGGGTTTGGGGCGAGGAGCCAAGCAGCCTTTTCCATCTCTGGGCACCTTCATCTCCACGCTCAGCCAGAGGAGGGACATGGCTGGACGTGGACTGGCTGGTGGCATCATGGGCAACTTGACCGGTAACCACGGACTCAGACACGGTGAGTTCAGACACAACTTATTATTATTTCAGCAAACAGAGTAGTTTTGCCCCTTTTCTGTCTTTCTTTGCACATTGAAAAAGGAAATTTAATCAAATTCCCCAAAATGCTGTCTCTATCCTCCATTCTGTGTTCGTGCCTTTGGTCCAGGACCAGATTAGAGCTTTGGCTTTCAGGAAATGACACCGGACTCGAGCTAGCATTCATAAAACATTATGATTAAAAATAAAAAATAATTTAAAAAACAGTTAAAAAAAACTCGATCCATCCATCTTCTTCCGCTTAGCAGGCTCGGGTCGCGTGGGCAGCAGCCTAAGGAGAGAAGCCCAGACCTGCCTTATTGTGGTGGAGAGGTTTGTGTGTTGCAGGGATCCCAGGGGCTTTGTTGTCTGGGGGCTTTTGCCACCTGGCAGGGTCTCCCATGGCAAACTGGTCCTGAGTGAGGGACCAGACAAAGAGCGATTCAGAAGAACCCTATGAGTAGAACACCAAGGGAACAGTTCACCCTTCCCGGGATAGAGTTACCGGGGCCCCGCCCTGGAGTCAGGCCCGGGAAGGGGGCCGAACGCGAGTGTCTGGTGGCTGGGCCTTAGTCCATAGAGCCCGGGCACAGCCCGAAAAGGGGGCACGGGCCCATCAGCAGCCAGGAGCGAATTAAAACTGTTTTGGCAAAATCTGCCTGTTGAAAGAACCTGACTGGAGAAGCACTGCTCTGTAAACCCAAACGCTAAAAGGATTTAAATAGGAGAATTATTTGGAGTTATTTGTTGCATTCTCCCTTTTTTCCATTGATTTTTTTTTTTACATTATTTTAAGCCAGACTTAAAAAACGTGTAATGTGCATCTAAGTTAGTGCAATAATGCTGAAGCGTTCCAGCAGAATTAGACTGTTGAGCTGTCATTGGGAAAACACAGACACACAACCATTCGCACTGCACCACTGTGCCGCAGACACTGTGACAACTGATTCATATTAATGAAAAATATTTGAACTGACATAATAAGAACTTTACCATAGACATCATACAGAGATCAAGAGATATGACACTCACAAACCCAAACGATGAAGATGGTGTGATGTTGTGAAACTATGTGCATGCACAGTTTGATGCTGCTGCTGCAAATGGAATAAAGTGTTTAAAACCTGATTTAGGGGCAAAGGTGCCAAACCTCTGAAGTGTTGGCATTGATATGAAAGGTTTGCCTTTCTGCTGGCATATTTAGATAGGATTAAGTTTTGAGACTTGCTTCCAGAAGCACTTTAAATATTTGATTACGTGCAATATGCACTACTTTACTGCAAAAAACATTGAAACTCTTAGAGCTTTTAATGTTTAGGTTCTTCACCATAAAAGCAATTGTGAGGCTTCTCTGTGGTTTTAAATGTGTAGATGGAAACACTTTGCCTTTAGCATCTTTAGTCAAATTGAACTTGTGCCTTTTTTACTTCTACTTGTGCAACAAGCTTTGCTCCGACTTCCTGTCGTCTGAATCGGCACTGCTTCATTCCAAAGCAGTAAAGCTGCTCAGTGTTTTGTAATATTGTTCGCCGCCTCTTTGCTCTCTTGGAAGCACCGATCCCCGTCCTCGTCTGCGATGTAATGATGTGTTACTTCCTCTGTTTACAGTGTGCTTGATGTATGCACTCACACTCTGTTTATGCTGCCTGCAAATGATGACATCGCTACTCTGAAATGAAAAGCTTTGAAAAGGAAGAAGAAGAGAAAAAGCTGTGCGGCTGTGGATTTCAACATCCCGCAGTGTGAGAAGATCAGACGCCTTCACTAATAACGAGACACTTACAGACATTTTTAAGGGGTGATTCATATCTCAGCTGACTCACAGTTGAAGCTCAAGTCACTTAGACTCAAGAGCTGGAAACAAGTAATAATTACAAATGGTTTGTTCTCCTGCACGTGAAGCATTTTTGGGCAAGTGGCATAAAAAATGTGTTTAGATAAGGTTTTTAGTTTCTCTTATTAAATTAGCATTGCAGTTATCAGATTGCGAGCTTTTTTGCGTGGCTTTAATTATTTTTTCATTGTGAGTGTTTTGACGGTAAAGGGGATGCTGCTTCCTGTTAAAGGCGAGGTTGTTTTTAAATGCCGCGTGAGAACAGAGACCCGGTGGAGCACCCACCAGCCCACTTTGTCACCACGGCTACTGATGCCAGAATAATTATACAAACCTCCGCCCCAAATGAAAACCATATGAAAGTGAAAACCATCAAGACACACACATGAGATATTGTTGCATTCCTCGGGCCCGTTACAGTCGGCCAGCCTGCTGGATAATCACCACAATTTGCTACTTCATCTGTAACGTGTTACGGGTTTTTGTAGAGATTTGTCAAAATAAAAGTGGAGTTTGGTCTCAGAAGGAACACTGTTCCACTGCAGCGTGATATGACTCAATGCAGTAAATATATAAAATGGCTAAATTGGTTGAACGAAGTGCAAAAGTCTTGAACCACCACTATTTTCTTTGTATGTACTTCCGGTGAGCTTTCTCGTCATTTTTTAAAGTCGTCTTGAGTAACAGTTCTCGAGGCTTCTGCGGGTCTTTCAAAGTCCTTCTTTGGACTTTGGCTGCTTTTGCACTCGTTTTCAGTCCCAGCCTGGTACATGATCAGTTTCAGAGAAGTGTCTGTTGAAACAATCAGATATAAAAAGGTAGCTAACTTAACAGACAATATAGCAAAAAAATAAATAAAAAACAAATTTTAAATCGAATCTTTAGGAACTGTTTTACTTGTAGCCTCTGGCAAAAATACCTCATATGTTCCTATTTCTTTTGCTAAAAATATGAAAAATGTCAAAGATGTCACAGTGTGACTGAAACAACATTTTTGCACCAATGCGGTGATTTCCAAAGAACTTTAGCTGCCATGTCTCAGAATCCTTAAAAAGTTGTGGAAACTATGTACATGGAAGACCAATGAAGAAGTTTACATATCCACTGGTGTTTGACTGCAGTGACTACTCTAGTTTTTAGCGCTTGACTTCATTTTTCTGCCCCAAAGGTTGCCACTTGATGCATGACCAAGTTAAACAGAATTAAAAAAAATGCATAATTGTAATAAACAGTAGTCATGTAGCCATGTGCTCACACATAGAGCAGGTAACCAGCAATCATATTTTGCTGTGACGTGACTGAATAAGAAGCTATCACTGTGCAACTTACCCCACAAACCAGGGTACATGTCAGGTACAAGGTGCACACATCATCTCCAGTCTGATGCTTGCTTTGTTCAGAAACCTCTGCAGCAATGAAAGCAGGATTTAATGGAAAGCACTTGAAAACACTTTGGGAAGATCTGTCTCACCCATCATCAAGAGACATCAAAGTAAAGAAAGAGAAGGAGGAAAAAGATGAATGTGACTCTTATGATCAAAAGGTGTCATGACAACGGATGCTTGTTGTTGTCAGCCCTGCGCTCAGTGATATACGAGCTGACAAAGCAATGATAATTAGGATGGTGTGAAGGAGGAAGGTGAGGGACAGGGGAGTGAAGATGGAAGGTGAGATTTAACAATATGTTCTTCTCCTTATTGCAGCTTTGTTTCCTCTTTGATTATGAATTTCTGTCTGATTTCATTAATGAAACAACTAATTCCTTCATCGAGGAGAATTTCATGACAGAAATGGAGCATAATGAAAAAAAGAGCCAATTCAAATTTGGTTCCAGTCCAGATAATTTTATTCAAAATAGTTAAATAGTCCTGGCTTTGGCAGACAAAGCACAATCTAAATGCTTTTGTAGTTGATTCATTTCATGGACCGTTTGCATGTTTGATATTCTTGATCCACAGAGGATGGCTTGTTCCTTTTCATCTTCCTTCACAATCACCATCAATACAAAGTTTACTTTTGATCAGCGGTTTGATCCATCGTCTGGAATGCTCTTTGGACAGTTTCATGGTTCAGAACGTCTTGTTTTGTGCGCAATCAGATACACACAGAGCAGCACAAGATGTTTGGACTGATGGAGAAAAGTAAAAGGTAAACCAGGTACTAAATCTTCAGCCAACACCGAACCAAACTGGCAGCCTGCTGACACAAGTGCACTCGGGGGGGGGGGGCATCTTTCACTGAGGCTGAGAAAATCACAACGAGTGATGAAATGGAAATTTCTATTTGAAATCTACTTCTACACATTTTTTTCACTATTGGATTAATTACTTTTTCTAAAACAATGATTTCTTCATTGTAGCATCTTTCCTCACCCTCGCGACAAAATGCAGACATTTAGCTGTTCTGTTGGTGGATGAGAGGAGTTTTTCTGTGATATAACACGTGCCCATCTCTGTTCTTGTGTCCCTTTTATCTTCTGCTTGCACAATCCTTCCACTTCTGCAGAATGAGCATCCACAATGCACCTGAACAGGGCTGCGCCTGCCTATTGTTAGTGTTAGGATTGAGGCTAATTATAAAGAGAATGGATGGATGGTCATCAGTGTGGGAGGATAGATGAATGCATGTGTGTTATGCAGCGCAGCCTGGCCTCTGTGATTGCACACTGATTGGGGTTAATAGCTGTTGTTGATTCATTTCTCTGTTTGTGGACCTCTTTTGTCTCCCAGCACATATTCCCTACACCTACATGTTCCGAGAAACATTCAAAACAGGCCCGATGTCTGTTTTGCAGTTGTTGTTTTTATTTTCATTTTCACTCCATGTGTCAGTTTAAACGCTGTCGAGCTGCAGATCTACAGCTGTGAGTAATTAACAGTTTGATGTTTTTATTGAATCCACCCACCCATCTTTATCCATCCATCCCTCTTCATCCATCCATCCACCCCTCGTCGACCATCCATCCATCATTCATCCCTCTTTATCCATCCATCCATCCATCATCAATCATCCATCCATCCATCTTTATCCATCCATCCCTCCCTCCATCTTTATCCGTCTACCATCCATCCATCTTTATCCATCTACCATCCATCCATCTTCATCCATTATTTGGGCAAGACAATTTACCCTACCGCCTACTGGTGATGGCCAGAGGGGCCGATGGTGCGATATGGCAGCCTTGCTTCTGTCAGTCTGTAGCTGCCTCCACCAGTGTGTGAATGTGAGAGTGAATGAATAGTGTAATTGTAAAGCGCTTTGAGGGTCTCGAAACAGACATTGCATTGCATAATTATTAATAATCTGCACATAAAACAAGATGTCTTGAACCAGATATCTGCTTTACATTATGAACATTTAACGAGCAGACTTGATATTATATTATGACCGTGATTAGGCCTTTGTGAGTGCTGCTATAGCTGAGAAAGCTTTTATTGTGTAGCTCACTAGGCTGAGAAGATGAGAGGATGTGGCTTCCTGTAAAATTCTACTTTGGCATCCAGATTCCTTTTTAAACTTTTTTTCTTTAAAGAACTCCTTAAGTCATGTTTTCTGTGCAGATGGTCAGTGTTACTGAGAGCGTGCTATAGTTGAACTGGTTCCTCTTCTTTATTTTCCTCTCCTGCAGGGAGAGAGCTGCCTCCGATATGCAGCAATGTTCGTCAAAAGCATCGGCTCTCCATCGACACTCTTCCTCCAGAGGTCAAAGCTCCATTCCCCTCTGACCCCATCATCCCCCTGCGCACCAAGACTACCAAGGAGTTTCAGTAGGTGTCAGTTCGCTGGAGCTTTAAACACACTTTAAACATGCAGGAAACAGTCTTAAATCAAAGGTAAAGAGGTCGGTCTCCGTGAAGTCTTTCGTGTGTTTTGGCTGCTAGGGAGGACATGGAGCGTGCCCTCCAATCAGGAGACTGGAGGGAGGTCCGGGAGTTTTACCTGACAACCTTTGACTCCTTCATAGAAATCAACGCTGCCTTCAAGGTATATCACACACAGAATCTGGTTCTCAGCGAATGGCCTGTTGTGAGAAAACACTTTTAAATGCTGGTAAAATTTCACAGAACTGTTTTACGATGTGGTGCGATGGGAAAGCAGTTTTCACTAACTCTCTCCGTGTGTTACTCTGCCTTCGCTTTCCCCATCACTCCTTTCCCAGCGAGAGGCGAATGGATTGTTTAACACTATAGAGGACTCAGGAGTCAACACCAAGTTTGTCAACGCTGTTTATGACGCACTGCTCAACACGGTGAGACCACACCTTCAGACATGCTTACATACGCTCAGAAACGAGGAGAAAATACTCTGAAATTCGTTTGTTGGCTGTTTGCAATCACAATAGTTTTCCTTTAATCACCTTTGAATGTAAAATATTTTACATCTGATGGGCCTCATCAGCCAACACCTTGTGTGCAACTGCTGGAGCAAATCCCAGCAGTTGATCAACTGCTGGGATCAGCTTGAGGCTTTTCTGGGAGCTTTTAGGAACTGACTGTAGGGAATGACAATACTCCAGCATAGACGTGAACTAGTTTTTTAGCATCAAGCATTTAGCATGTTTCTAATTTGATCAGTATTGCACATATTAAACAAGGCAGTCATAGAGATTTTTGGGTTATGTGTATTAAGAGATATATCCTGGTCACAACTGACTCCAGGGTTCCTCGCAGTAGTACTGGAGTCGTCCACACCTGGTGAGCGTTTTCTCAATTTAAAAGTAGAACAAGTGACCTTCCTGTTGTGGTGAAGGTTAGATGAATATGCCGTTCAGTGTTTTTATTTCTCTTTGTAGGCCTCTGCACACTAAGCTTATTTTCGGTTGTGTTTTTAGCCTCAGGACATCCAGAAGTCAGTGCTGAAAGGGATCATTAACAGCCTGCTGAGGGAGTGGAAAGGGTGAGACGAGTTCTCTGCATCTTTGTGTTATCATGTTCCACTTATGAAGTTTACTATACATGCTTTTATGAAAGGAAATTATTAACATTTCATTGATATTTTTCACATTCTAATCACTGATGTTGGAATTCTTGTTCATTTATATTAAATTGTAGTAAAATAGCTTAAAGTAATACCTTGAATCTCTGTTTTGTACCTCTTTGCTGGTGTAGTTATTTGTTATATTGTGGGACTATTTGTTGACAGTGTCTCACTGTGTTCTGGGTTTTGTCTGTTCTGTTTTCAGGCCTCGGACAAAAGATGATCTGCGAGCTTACTTCATTCTCGTTCAGGTACGATTGTGGGGAGTACCCAGAAGGCCCCTTACAGTGAACTAATCTTCATCACAAATCAGTGAAGAAATCAAATAAATGAGAACAGAGAGTACGACTGATTAAGTCAGATACAGCATGAAAGTGGGAGCTAGAGTGTAGGTGGGTTGCAAAGTGGCTGACAGACTAAAACAGTGCGCCCTGTTGGCAACTTTACGCTTGAACATGCAGCAATCATTCAGGTAAGGAAATCCCAAAAAGTAGATTCTGTTGATTTGGACATAGAGTTTTCATCCAAGTGACTTCTTCACTATCTGCTACATCCAAATGAACAGAATCAGCTTTTTGGGATTGTCTGCAAACACTTGCTAAGTAACCACTGAATGACTATGAAACTGCGACAGTAAAAGGAGGTTGTTCAAATTACCTGAAAGACCTTCAAAATAAAAGTTTTCCCTTTCCGCTGAAACCAAGGTGTTTCAAAAGGTTTAACTTTTACTTTGACGGTGAATGGACTCCTGTTCTGGTTTGTTCCGTTTCACAAGTGTTTGCAGTCGGGGTCTTCCATATAAGCTGTTGGTGCCTTCGAGCTACCGAAACAACAAGGTTTTCGGTGTAGCACTGTTTACCTCTTTGCCACCAGTTTTACGTAACAACAGTCAGCAATCAACCTCTCACCAAACAGTTAACGTTTACACATTTTTGTCCCCTAATAATCGGTAGTTACCATGGGCTCAGTGACTGGTTTTTAAGCCTACGTCACTGGGACTTGAGAAAATTTGGTAAATTTGGTAGTTTTTGCCCATATTTATTCTTATTTAACAAAGACATTTTCATCAAAATGTTTTGTTTTCTTTTTGAAATTTCCCGTTGCTATTCTTCTTAATCTTGCCTCTTGTTTTCATTCCAGTCTTCTGTCTTTCTCTCTTTTTGGGGATCTTTCTTTGATGCTATTTTTCATCTCGGTCTGTCTTTCGTTCTCTCCGTCCAGTCTGATTCCCATATATGGTTTTGGGGATCAGCATCAGATAAAGACAGCAGTCTACAGTAGTCCCACTGTGGTTCCACCCTCCATCACACACACACACACACGGCCGAGCCAAACTTCTGATTTTGCCCCATTTGACTTTGAGGACTTGTCTCGTCTTTCAGCTCTCATGAGAACATAACCACGCACACACAAACACACAGATCGGGACTGGATGAGGTCATTTTGCAGTTGAGGACTGTTGGTTTCCTGCCTGATGATGACTCTCCTTCCTTTATGGGCTCTGGTTGCTACAAATTCATCTCTTTTTCCCTTCATCTGTGCATTATAACCATTCTCAGACTGAAGTGAGCTTTTTGGGATTATCTCACTCATTTTGTCATTTGTTATTACTTTTATTGCATCCAAACTTGTGCGCGTGCGGTCAAAGTGAAAGTGGGTCACACTTGAGGAAAAAAAGTAAAGAATAACAATCATTTAAATCCTACTTCAGTCGGCCTTTAGCCCTGCAGTTAGTTGAACGAATGAGAGATTTTTAAGGAATTGCAGTAAACCAGCCTTCTCTGGATCTTACAAATATGAACCGTATGTTGAGCATGAAGCATTTTCAATGGAAAACTCAAACATTATGTTCAACTTGAACCATTGTTTTGTTTTGTTTCAACTTGTTTTCATAGTTCTGCCCATTATTTCTTTATGTTATAATGTTGTACTCTCCAAGTTAATTAACAAGAGCTGAGAACATGAGGCCGTAATGAAGTCCACCGGAGCAGTTAACTCTTGTTTTCATTCTTTCATCTAAACAAATTTGTCTAGGGGGTTGTTTAAGGGTTGTTTGGATGCTTGTGGGAGACCCAGCAGATTCCCTTTAACGCATGTTCCCGTGATCCCAAATGAAAGGTTTAAGACTGGTGAGTAAATGTTCTAAAAAGTGAAAGAAATCATACACAAAACTATCAAAATAAGGGGTACTTTCCTCAAAAAGAGTATTTTCTTAATAATGCAAACTAATGAGATATTTATGGTCACTTTATTTTATCTAAAAATGCACTCAACAACAGAAATAAGGAGATGAGTAAGAAATAAAACAGGGAAAATATGCTTATGACAAGCATGCGGTAAAAGCCACTTGGTTATGGTTAGAACATGAATAAAGAATAAACTCCATCAGTCATATTTTCCCACTTCATGATGCTCTTAAACTTATTTTATTTTATCCTATCAAGTAATAAAAGAATAAGAAACTCATGAAAACTAATGTTCCACAAACTTGACTCAGACTCTTGCTCAACACTTCATGGCTTATCCTGCTGATCTGAACAACACCCTAAACAAGCAGCAGTCCACTGGAGAAGGTCCACCTGAGACAGAATCTGCATGTAAATGCTCATCCATAGTGTTCATAGTTAAAAAGCAGCCATCCAGTAATTGGTGTAGCTCAAGTGTGATGTTTTCCTTCTATTTCTATTCCGTGTTTTTCTTGGTTGACTGTCGTCCATGAAAACAACACTGAAAACTGTCCTCTTATAGTCTCGCCTTTGACTTCATTATGCGATAAGTTTCTCTTTCTGTTAGAGTATAAAAGGTAGAAGTAGCCTTTAACTCTAAGTTTCAGAAAGAAGGCTTATATGGGCTATGCCCATCGGCTAATGAATTGTGATCGACAGTTTGTGAACCAATGAGAATGCAGTTTAACAGTCACATCCGCCTCTGATGACAAAAATCCTCATGTTGAGGCTTCACGATGGAGCTTTGGAAACCAGCAGGTGAAGTTATTAACAAATGTACTGTTTTATTCCTTATAACTCAAAACGAGTAAATGAGCCCATGAAGTCATCAGAAAACTGTTTACTGAGATTATCCAGGACAGCTTTCACCAGACGAGCATGCTTTAATCAGTCAACTCAATTTAACCCTTTCACACATAGCGGTCACTACAGTGGACAGCTATTCAAAGGCTGTGTTCTTGCATTTGTGTCAGTGTTGATGGTATACTTGCACATAAACCACTACATAGGACGCTGATGTGTCACTCCATGCCCTGCCACACAGTCAAAACGTATGTTGTCCACCTAAGTGGACATTTAAAAAAAGACTCTTTGAAAAGTACATGTTTAAAAAAGTGAATTTCAAAAATGGTTAACATGGTTAACTACTGCAAGTAAAATGAACATGTGGTTCATTACCTTAGCATGTTCCCAGCATAAATAACAGTTATTTGTAGTATATATTGACTCACATACTATTTAATACAAGACAGTACATGCCCTCATAAATGTTTAAGCAAAGGATTCCTTGAATTGTGTACGTTTCCATGGTTGCCATGTGCGTTCACATGCATCCAGGCACTAGGTTGCTGCTCTATCAATTTGTCCTGTTAAGGTCTCTGTTAGTAGCATCATGCAATACATTTGACATTTGTGTTACGATTTCCGTCTCAGTTCACATGTTGGATTCCGGCTTTTTAACTGTGTGTGTGTGTGTGTGTGTGTGTGTGTGTGTGTGTAGAACCCACAGTACTCAAGTACCAGCACCTATGTGATCTATGCTCACCTGCTCAGGCAGATCGCAGCTTTGTCTGAGGCTGACCATCACTTCCTGGTTCACTGGTTTAAAAAGTAAGTCCAAAACTCTGTGCAAGCGTCTGTGTGTTCGTGTGTGTGCACGCATGTGCATGTGTGTGTTCGTGTGTGTGGTAACCAGTTTGATATTGGTTCGCAGCCAGTAACAAATGGACCTCACCACAGTTTAAATAAACAATAAAAATGTCAGGTATCATATTCTGATTGATGTCTCTTTACAGCATCTATAAAGCTACAGAATATTTTCTTTGTCTTTACATTTGAATTACTTTGTCTTTTACTGATTTTTGTCATCCACACTGGATCTAAGGAGAGAGGATTTTGTATGTTAAAGAGATCGTGCAGCCTTCTGTGGAAAATGTGGGATTTGAAGCTTTAAATAACTCATGGATGTGTGGGCGGATTGGCTCTTGTCATCTTGTTACTGCAGCAGGGTTAGCAGGTGATAAATTGTGAGATGAGAACATAAATTAGGCAACTACTCTGCTTAGTCTCACTTTCTTAATGCATATCACATACACAGTTTTGAGGTTTTATGAATCTCTGCTGTCGTTTGGTGCAAACCCTAAAATTTGACAAAACACAGCACTCGCATTCTTTTTACATCCAGCTTGGTTTTTGTCTTCAGCTTTGCTTTCCCTACTCTAATCAGCCCACACAGTGCGACCTGCATGCCAACACTTTCCCTTCTGGAAAAAAAAAAGTTCAAACGTGTATTTGTGATTAACTGTCAAGTATAATAGAATTGTTCTACTTAAAAGAGTATGCTTAACTACTTGACATCCACCAGGTCACCAATAATCTGTCCATGGCTTGAGTTTTGTTCTGGCAAAATGTTTCTGGCAAAACTTTAGAAACTGCAACATGTTACATTACAAATAAAGAGTCATACGACAGCTGTTGCATCTTTTTTCTATGTGACTGTTCCAAATAGGCATTATATTATATTTAAAAAAGGGGTCAACATAAGCCAGACCCTACCCTAACCATAGGTGGGCTGCTAGTGACTGGCCGGTTCTTAAATAGTTAAAAAAAACAAAACTCATGGCGAGTTACAACATTGTGTGCTAATGTATTGTAGTTGTTGTCTGCTGTTGTGTTACTGTACACATATTATCTGCTTTAGCTTGAATATGGAAAAACATCATAGAAAAGTTTTATCAGGTCATCTTTCATTATATATTGTTTTGCTAAGAACACGTTTGGTGAATCTGTCAGTGACATACTACATGACTAAAACTGGTGCCAGGCAACATATGACTCAAATAGTCTATACGAGCAAGGGAATGGAATGGAAATCTCATTTCAGCTTTTTGTGGATGCTAACAACACATTTGTTTTAATGTTTGAGAATCTGCTTGCAAAAACCCAACAAGCTGTAGTCCAAAGTTTTATTCAGAATGGCAGTAAAAAAAGTCTTAGATCCAGTCCTTATGGTGCAGGAACCCTGGACGTGAAAGCAAAGACTGGAAGCTTGTTTGGGAGTTTTAGTATGAAAGAAATCTTTCACAATATCAACACAGTAATCAACAGTAAGAGATTAATAGTTATGGGGCTTATGAAATATTAAACTTCTCTCCAATAGAAAAAAAGCACGTTTATTAATTTATAAATGTCTTTATCTTATTTAATTACATTGTTCCTCACTGTCCAAATATAAACTTTGTCCAGCTAGAAGACTTTAAACATCACACACAGCCTGAAAGCACAAATGTAAACCAGCTTCTGTTCGTCTCCCTCTCGGCTTGAATGAGGAACATTTGAATTCATGCTGTTTGTGGTAATGATTTACTAGCAAGCTGCTTCAAATTAGAAGTTCTGTTTAGTTCTGCTCAGATCCGAAAACCAAACTTCTCCAAAGCTGCTATTATTTTTCCTCCTTGAAGTGTAAGCATCTATTTTTGTGCACATGTATATTTCAGGGTGCAGTTTGACTCTGCCAAGCCACCAGTATTAACTCCATGTATCTGTGTGTGTGTGTGTGTGTGTGTGTGTGTGTGTGTGTGTGTGTGTGTGTGTGTGTGTGTGTCAGACTGTCTGCAAGGCGTTTCAGACAACTGGTAGAGCGCCTCCTGCAGTTCATCTCCACTCGCCTGTTTCCAGCAGAACCAGATGAATTTCCTCCTCTGTCCAAGTGCGCCTGGTGGATTCCCTCTGCAACCAAAGTGCTCAGCCTCTTCAGTGAGTCTCTTGCAAAACTAATAACATCTCGATGTCTGCTGCAGATGATTTCTGTCACATTTGACTGTTATTCTTGTTTCCCTGTCCTCAGATGCAGCCAACAGTGTCTCCTCCCCTCCAATCATGTCCTTCACTGACTTTTACAACATTACTCTTGAACACATAGATTTTATGGAGGATTATAGGACCTGGCAGAACTATGGCAACTCAAATAGGTCAGTTGTGTTTTTTTCTGTATACATTAAACTCTATGAATTTTCCATCTGGTTCAACCCTGCTAAATCCTGATGCTTGCATCATTAGTAAATCTAAAAGTCATATCTTGCAATTAGGTTTGTTTTCTTTCAGCCAATACTGGACAAATTACATGCCAAGAAATGTAGCTGAACATGATTTTCAATTTAATCGCAAAATTTAGTGTTCACTTGAACCGTTCTTTAGAGCACCAAAGGCGATAGGATACATTTTACTTACAGGACTTCATTTCAGTCATTTTGCAATTTAACAATAATCAACTTTTAGATGGACATGACCTTTTTGGTTAAAATATTTACATATATCATATAGAAAGGGTGTGATAGAGGGCTTGTCCTGGTGAAAATCCCGGACGAGCCCCCAAACATTTTCTTAGTCCATAAATTGACAATGTAGTGGAACTAATGGCATATAAGATGGCACCATCTTGCTGTAATTCTATGAATGTTAAATGATGTAAATATAATTATAAAACACATAAGCTTGAACCAATTTTATTATTAGATTCAGGCTTCTTAACTAATATCTTAACTAACAAACTTTTAAAACCGAATCCAAAAAGTACGACTGCTTGTATCTTCCAACTCAAGTATTAAATAACAAAGAAATTGAAGGACCAAGGCTTACTGTAGTCGACACCAAAGCCAGCCATTCTGACCACGTCTGGCTTTAAATGCATGCATAGGCTGATAAGGCATAACTGAAGTAATATTAGGTACCAGAACACTTTCAATATTTCTTTCTTTATATGTTGCTACGGGTTGAGATATGTTGTATTACCATATAGATTTGTAGGAATAATTTCTTGCTAGCATAGATGCATTTCTGTTCAAATCAAGCATCTTTACTGCAATTTTGCATCCTTTCAAGCAGCATAATAAACTAATGAAACTTTGACATTAAATTTACACCACTGCATGTAATGAAATAGCTGACATCTCTCATTTTGGTGGGGCGTACCTCTTCGGTGACAAACGGGCGCAAACGAGACCCTGTTGTAATTTTGTATGAACTAGGCATTTATTTTCTTTCTTGTAGATCACTGAATATGGTAGTCAGCATGTGAGTAGTTGATTTGTTGCTATGTAATAATTTTATGGTTGATTGCAGTAGCAGGTTATGCTAGAGCTACTCATTTCTCATGGATACACAACTTTTCCACAAAGATATGTTCCTGAAAATACCAAAAAGATAACATAATCTACTTTAACTTGTGATTCAAATCCAGTCATAACCCTGGGTTGCTCTATATAAGAGACTAAATCAATGTCATCTGGATTCAGATTGGTTGACCAATAATACAAAACCTGAATGACTCTGATTCACTTCACTTGTGTTATTCAAATCTTCATCAGTTTAGTTCTGTGTAAACTAAACACTCAACAGATTTCAGCAATAAATAGAAAGCATAAAATGCTGTACTACTTTGTAGTGTAGTAAAGTATAGTACAGTATAGTAGTAATGATGGGTTGATGATATAGTCAGTGATGACTGATTTTTGTCAAAAAAAAACGTTTTTAGACTTGCCTGCAAGCTCCTATTAGAATTGCCCCTCCATATTACAGTACATTACCCTGAGTAAGTGCTACTCACGACCAAGTCATCTAACATCCCTTTGAAGATTCCTGGAAGTGAAATTGAGTATCTCCTCATAAGCAGAATGAAGTAACACTTCCACAGCTGCAGTTTATCCAGAACTTTGGAAAGACTTGCAGAAGCCGTGAAGTTCGTTTCACGCTGTGTCACGGCTCGTTAACGTCTCACAAAGAAAATGGATCTGGAGTTTACAGTTGAAATGACCGGCTCTTACAGCCTCTGGCTGGTGTGGTGGGGGATTTGTGGAGCTCATGTGGCTTGGAGGGTGTAGACTTCAGAGCCTGCTCATTAGGGTAAAGTATAGAATTTTGAAAACACTTGAAAGCTGGTCAGAAATGCAGTTACAGAAAGACATGTTTATGAAACTGCTGATAGAAAAACAGACTAAGAAACTCTGCCTGAGAATTATTAACTATTCTTAACTTTTTCCTCTTTTTCAGGTTTTCTTTCTGTCAGTTTCCCTTCATCCTCTCGACGGCGGTAAAGAAAGCCATCATCCAGAAAGACTCGGAGCAACAGATGATCAGTCAGGCCAGGGTGAGTCACACATTAACAAAGCCTGATTCCAGCCTTAAAATATTGTAATAAGGAAACACAGAGCAGGCAGATTTGCTGAAGCTGTATATGAGCAACAAATGCTTGTCTGTTGAGTTTAGGATTCTGTGTTTTTGCTTCACAGCAAAGTCTGGTCAGTAAAGTTTCTCGCAGGCAGAGAGTGGACATGAACCTTCTGTTTCTCAACATTAAAGTACGACGAGCACAGCTTCTCAGCGACTCACTGGATGAGGTTAGTACATTCACAAATTTCAGTTTTTGATGTATAATCATTTTACAAGATGTTTAAACATCTTTTAAACTGTTTAAACTGAAATATGCAAGTTAAAGCATGCAGTGTAGACCGGTGTCATCAGGGCGTTTATTAATTAGAAATAATGTGAATGTTGACTGATCTTTAATGCATGAACAACTGCCATGATGATTATTTATTTTAAAAAAAGAAAGATAAAAAAATCTCCTGCAAATTCCCAATGATATCTTTCTGTTTTTTATCAGAAAGTTATTTTTATTCCAGTGCGAACTGGAATTTCTAAATTCAGTTTCTCTGATTTTGGTGCTTTATGCTTTATTTTTGGTAGTTTATAAAGGCTGCTTTGGTAATCTTAGTAGAAAGTTCCTTTTAGGGGCAAATTCAGGGGCAAATTGATAACATGTATGGCAGTTGCATGGAAACCTATTACTGATTACTATGTCTGATTTCTGATTTCTAAAAACAAATCTGAGAACCCGTTAACCCATCAGCTGACAAACTAAGGGCACAAATGCTAGCAGCTGTCTGATGATCGTTTAGTTTATGATCGTTAATAAATTAGAAAAAGCTAATAAAAACCTTTGTCCTCTTTAGACAATGCCCAGTGTTTTTGAATTTGAATTTTGGTAAATGCATTCTGTTTTTGCTGTCCATGTTATCAGTTTACCTGGTCAGTACCTGCTCAGACATGATTGGTTATTAAAATTAAGACAAACCAGGAAGATTCATGTCCCTAAAAACTCATCCTTTGTCTACTATCTTTACACATATTTATATGCAGATATCTGAAGTGACCTTGAGCCATAACACACTGTGAATTTATGTTTAGTGTGTTTTAAATGTCCTAATGCAATTTTAGTTGATACCGGAAAGCCAATCAGAAAACAATATGTTCTTTAGAAATACACAAGCACAGATTGGTGCAGGTTCAGCGTCATTTAATATAAAATGAGATGTGTTAATGTGCCTTCTCCACTGAAGTACTGAGCAAAGATCGTGAAAAAAGAAGGAACTGAGGAGAATCTCATGGGTGTAAACTGGGATTTTTAGGACATCTGAGAGTGTGATAACAACCAAAAACCAAAAAATTTCTTAAAATGTTGTTTTAAGCAAGGGGGAAAAATTGGAAACTTGTGATGTGGGAATACTGGGAATATCGGCCAGTGAATATATAGACCCTGCCATGAGGATCAGCAAGTATGCCTTTAATGTTTTGCAGTCATGTGTCACCCTCAACCTCCGTCAATCTGAAATGTAACCGTAAATCTGAGATAAACACTAAAATCCAAGTCTAAATTATGTGAAATGTTATTTTCTTCCTGCAGTGAGGTTCAGACCAAATGTCTTTCATTTTGGTCTTTAATTGCTGGTCTGTCCCTGTGAAGATATTCAGTCTGCAGACACTGAGGAATACATGATCACAGCATTTTCATACTTTCATTTGAAGAAACCATTTAGCAACTTAAGTAACAGTGTTTATGGGAAATTATAGCAGAGGATGTCATTTTTTTACCCAGAAAATATTTCCGCATCTACTTATTTTCTACTGCTTCTGTCTGTAGCAGCAGTCTAAGCAGACCAGTCCTCTTTCTTGGTGACCTGTGCCTAAAGCTCTTGTGGCGTTCTCAAGCCAGAAGAGAACCATAATCTCTCCATCATATCTGCACTGGAATCTTTCCCATGTTGGGTGTGACTGGAACGCCTCCACAGGAGGCGTCCAGAGGCACCTGGTCAGCTGATCTGATTTGATGTGGAGGAGCAGCAGTTTTACTCTCAGCACCTCCTGAACCACTGAGTTCCTCACCTAGTCTGGGAAGCAGAGCTGAAAGTGCCTCTGCGGGCTCTTGCTTGCAGTTTTCATAATTCCTTTCATAACTTCTTCCCTCATCATGACCATAGATGTGGGTAGGAGTGTAGATGGACCCGTAAATCAGCTGCTTTTGTCATATCTCTCTTTACCAGAACAAATAGCATCCACATCCCAGCAGACACCGCAACCACTGGTCTGTCAATTTTGCATTTGCTGACTTATTGTTAGCAATGCACAACTTTCCCTGGTGCTCTACAGGAGCCAAATAACCCATAATAATGGGCCTGATACCCCAGATTTCTTAAGCATCTCAAACAGGGCACCATAAGAGCAATCACACACCAGTTCCACAAAGCACATGCAGAACAGCTGGACACAATATTGCCTAGGCGTGTCACCCAGGATAACCCCACATCAGACGCTTCAGGCGCTGCAACTCTTACCCAACAAAGGGGTACAAAGGTTTCTGCAGCAAGTGTTTCTGCAATCCAAACTGAAACGAAATGTGTGTGTGTTTGTTTCATCTCTTTGTCGCCGATAGCTGACGAGGAAGCGATGCGATCTAAAGAAGAAGCTGCGGGTGACTTTTGTCGGGGAGGCGGGGCTGGACATGGGCGGCCTGACGAAAGAGTGGTTCCTGCTACTCGTCCGACAAATCTTTCACACAGACTACGGTGAGTCAGGGTTTCAGATTGGAGGTCATTCACACTGAAACATGAGCTGCTGAGCTGTGAGTGTCCACAATCCAGCCTTCATCATAAAAATGGAAAAAAAGCTTTTCTTTGAGTAGGTCTTGAGGGAGCAGCTGAGAATAACAGATAAGGTTGAAAATCTGGAAGGTAAATCCCGTTTGATACAAAGTCAGTGGAAAGTGAAGCTGTATTTTATTATTGAAGTCAAGCGGAAAAAAATCGTATTTTTATTGGATAAAACGGAAAGTACATTTTTATTAGATGGAGGCCTCGGTGGACGTGCTTTGTGAGTTTTCGGGTCAGTGAAACTGCAGCGGGAATAAGTGTCAGATGGCTGAGAAAAGTGGCCCGTGTTGGTTTTGGCAACTGTATAATTAGCTGTCATTTCAGTCTGGAAGAGTTCTTATTATGATGGTCTTCTTCTCTTGTTTCTCTTTTCCTTTTTGTCTGTTCTGGCTGCCTGACTGTAATTATCTCTGTTTGCCATTGTTGTCACTGTGCCTATCTCTTTCTCAGTGTTGCTCTCTCAGTCTTTTAAACTCCTTTACCTCTGTTTACACGATTTATTCCAAATCTAAAGCCAGACACGGCTAAGTCACTCCTTCTCGTTACAGTTGCGTTAGGCTCTACAACGACCGGTAAAACGATCACATGTAAAGTTGCTCGTTTTTGATGTGACGTTTGCTCGATGTGACAGCTTTAGAATAAAGACACCATTATTATTTAGATGGTTCAATGTAAGCCTTGCTTTTTATGCGTGTCCCAAGTTTTGACTGGCTAAGTGTTCAGCCTCTCAGCTAGAACTTGTTTTTTTCCCAGTAGCTATTGGCAACTTTTCCCCAGTAGCAAGAATGCTGGACAATGGAACAGCTGGAGAAACTGTGGAAACTTTACTTTTCTTTCAGTAAAAGAAAGAACTCGCCACAAAAAAGGCAATAAAACGGAAAATACAGTCAAATGAGAAGGAAAGGCCTCAGGCAGGCGTTGACTGGACGGAGAGAGATCCTGGACATAAGAGGGTTTACTCCGTTATTATTTCTAATGATAGGAATATGAGTATTTTTCCAATACTCTTCTTTTAAAAACCCAAGAACCTCCCATCATATTGAAACCAGTAGCTCTGTAATGCAAAGAAGTGCTTGAGTGATGTTGCAGGTATCACTTTCACCTTATAGTTTAACACTGATTCTGGAGAAAGATGAGTACTTCTAAGGCCTATGATGCCTGTTAAAGCTGGCTGAAGTAGTCCAGTTTGTAAAATTGCAGCAGAGGGGAGACTGGTGTGACTGTCTGCTGTGCTTAAAACAATCCCTGCACTTCCTTTTCCGACACTGATTATTGTATTTGTGTAATAGCTTATAGTCATTAACGGTCAGCGTAGACTTCTTCACACTTAATATCTTTAGTGTCTTACTTGGTCAAGCCAGCGTCAGCAACCGCAACAAACAACCTCCTCAAGGCCAAGGCCGCCTTTTCCCCATCGTTCCACACGTTTAGCATCTACCTTCACATTCTTCTAAATTGGTCATTCATTGCTCATCCTTTTATACTTATAAAAAGGCCATTAATCTCTGGCTCTCGTCTACAGCATGTCATTTATCCCGTCTTCCTTCTCTCTCCCCAACCAGTCGCAGCAGACATACATAAAACTGAATTGAGTTGACCTTGCTGGCTGCTCCGCCTTTCCTTTATAAGTGTCTGTGTTTGACAGTCACCAACAGTTGAAGGAACCTGTGGTTCCTTGGCAAGTTTTCACACATTAACTAAGATTACGTGGACCTTTGATGGAAACGCAGCGAAAGACTCTCACTTCCATGCCTGCTGGTAATGTGGATAAATAAATCTTAAGTAAAGGGCTCAAATATTTCCCTTTGGAAAGGATTCAACAGTTTCCTAAAACAGCTGGAAAGTCTAGTTTTAAGCAAACATGAAACAAAGTTGAGGAAACGGCACATTTTTGGGGACTATTTTCAGTGGTGGATTACTACACGTGTGTGTGGGATTCACTCAGGACAAACTGCAGTGTCTGTTCGTGGTAATTAAAGCACATGTCGCACAGCATAGTGCAGCCATGTGTTATTAATAGTTCTTGGAGAACAGCAGCGCACAGATGCATGGGTTATATCAGCCTTTAAATACATACACAGTGCTTCATAGCGCCATACTTTCATTGTTGGTTTTGCTCTTTTGGAGAAACAGTAAAAAATCCTTTAATGTGAAGTCTCGATTGAACGCACTTATCACAAACAGTTATTTTATTCACCGCTTTCCAGCTGCGCTGTGCTGAGTTGCACATTTCACAAATGGTGGCGAGTTGGTGGTTAACAAAAATCATTTAGATCTCAGTCCAAACTGAATTTCTGTGAATTGTGAGGAAAACATTTCTCAAGCCTTTCTTCCTCCATTTTTCAATTCAACAAGTGTGTTTCCATCACTGCCGCTCCAACATTTCCCCTAACTGCAAAACGATTCTCACATCACGTCTGGGCAAAAAAACCCTTTTTACAATATTGATATAGCATTTTCTCCAAGTTTCGGCCGCATCCGTTCAGCCTTTGTAGTTCAGTATGTTGGAATTTGCATAAAATATACTCGAGTGGAAACCAAGCGAGCGTCTGCCTGTGCATCTGCGTTTTCTGCTCTCTGCGTCTCCGCTCTGGTCAAGTTGTTCTTTCCATCGTCGTTCCATCTTTCCGCGGTCGTCTGTGTTTGTCGGTGCCAGGGGGATGTCGGCCCAAAGCAACACACTCAATGAAAGCTGTGTTCCCCTCATTAGCAGCACAGGGAAATCCCCACCTCTG